AGCCCCCAAACGGGGGAAAAAAAAAAAAAAGAACCCATCTCATTAATGTTTTGTGGCCATTGATTTTCATATTACTATGGAAAGAACATATGGGGAAGAGTGGGGTAAACATCACTAAGATTACTATCCCGTTTCTTCGAGTGTGGCTGATAGAAACATTTAAATTACGTGTATGGTTCCCCAGCTCTGCTCTAGGGGGGAGAAAAAAAAAGGCAGGAAGAAACTCCTGGAATCATAAACAAAGGTTAAGGAGGGGTGGGGGAGAGCGCTTCTCTTTCCACCTTGTTATTATTTTTTTTAATGCTTATTTATTTTTGAGAGAGAGAGAGCGAGAGCGAGAGAGCGCAGGTGCACGCAAGCGGGAGAGGGGCACAGAGAGAGGGAGACAGAAGATCCGAAGCCGGCTCCAGGCTGACAGCAGAGAGCCTTTAGTGGGGCTGGAACTCACAAACCATGGGATTGTGACCTGAACTGACCGAGCCACCCAGGTACCCCTTTACCTTAGTTTTAACAACAAGCAAGTGTCAGGCAAAGAATACCGTTAAGGAGAGGTTAAAAGACAGTTGGGGGGAAGGGAAATTTTGTTCAAGAAGCTGGGGAATGCGAAGGCGACAGGCGGTCGTGCTGGGCACAGAGACAGGGGCTCTCCTCCAGATGGGGGAGCCCTGGGAAGGGTGCTGAGGGGTCCACCAGGAACCCCCCTGGAAAAGCAGGAGGCCGGTGTTCTGGAAATGAGCACCAGATTTTGTTTGCCAGCAGCTTCCCAGAGGTTCACCTTTGAGAACCTGTGCGGCGCAGGGGCGTGGCGGCCCAGGAACCACGTGACCAGGTCCCACCCTGGCCGCTGCTGGTTGGCCAGGCCAAGGGCACCCGACTCTTCGCTGGACCGGCGGGATTCTCACTGGCGGAGCTGTGAAATTGAACCGAGGCCGCGCCAGGGCTCCCGCCGGACCCTGGAGCTGAACACCTGCAGGGAAACTGGGGGCCATACAGCGTCCGTGGGCACAGCCGAACCCAAGATCTGTGCAGAGAGCCTGAGATGAGAGCCAGTGGCCCCTGAGAGGACAAAACCGAGAAGACGGACAGGAATCTTGGTTCCCCCCTTGGTCCCCGGGGGGATTGTTGACTCCATGTTATGAAGGCAAAAATTAGGGCTCAGAAGCTGAATTGCCTGGCCCAGGGCCCACGGCAAGTAAGGGGTACCTCCCATTTCAAGCCAGGGCCGTCTGATTGTACGGTCGGGGCTGTTGAACACCCCTGGGGGCGCCTGGGTGGCTCAGTTGGTTAAGCGCCCGACTTGGGCTCAGGCCACGATGTCACCGTTTGTGAGTTCACGGTCCGTGAATTCGAGCCCCGCGTGGGGCTCTGTGCTGACAGCTCAGAGCCTGGAGCCTGTTTCACATTCTGTGTCTCCCTCTCTATGCCTCTCCCCTACGCACCCTCTGTCTCTGTCTCAAAAATAAATAAACATTAAAAAAAAAATTAAAAAGCTTTTTTTTTTTTTTTCCCCCTGTGCTATTCTGTGTCCCAACACCTCTGCCCATGACTCTCCAAACTCAACACACCCCTCAGACCTCAGGCAAGGGAGTGCTGTTCTGGGCCCCCAGCTTTTGAGGACTCTCCCCGCCCCACCCCCTATGGTCAGAGGGGTCCCTGGGGCCAAGGAGTTGTGCCCACGCAGAATCCACACTTCCGGCTGGAGAGAGATTATGCTCTGAGAACTGGGGGTAGAAAGAATAATGCCCCCCCCCAAGATACCCACACCCTAATATTTGGAACCCGCGAATATGGCAGATGTGGTTAAATGAAGCATCTCGGGATGGGGAGATTATCCTGGATTATCTGGGCGGACCTACTGTAATCGCCAGGACCTTTCAAGAGGGAGGGAGGAGGGTCCGTCAGGGAAGAGATGACAACGTGAGCAGTTTCAGGGACGCAGGGCCAGGAGCCAAGGGATGCGGGAGGGATGGAGGTGATGCGGAAGGCAAGGAAACAGATTCATGTGGGGGGACAAGGAGTCAGGTTCTCTCCAGGGTAGAATTCTGACCTTGAACTTGTTTAGCCTCTCTGTTTGCACTTTTTTTTTTTAAGTTTACTTATTTATTTTGAGAGAGATAAAGTGCGAGTGGAGGAGGGGCAGCGAGAGAGAGAGAGAGAGAGAGAGAGAGAGAGAGAGAGAGAGAGAGAGAATCCCAAGCAGGCTCCATGCTGCCAACACAGAACCCGACATGGGGCTCGAACCCACGAACCGGGAGATTATGACCTGAGCAGAAACCCACAGGCGGACGCTTAACCGACGGAGCCACCCAGGCGCCCCCAAAGTCTTGGTTTAAAAAGAAAAGCCTGTTACCCGACACACCTCGAGTTCGTGGCGCTTCAAGGGGGAGGGTGAAGGAGAAGGGGGGTACAGATCTCTGCAGGGGTGGGGCGTGGGGGCAGAGAGAACAGCAGAGAAGAGACGGGAGGGGAAAGAAGGAAGAGGTGACTCATGAGAAGGTGCTCCCGTTCTTGGTATCAGAAGTGAGAGGTCTGCAGGGGAAGGAAGTCCCGAGCGGACACAGTCAGAGGTGGAGACAAGAGACGGTGTGACCCCCCCCCCCAGGGGTCAAGACAGACGGCGGAGGGACAGCCCCGGAGAAGGAAAAGATACACGGGAGAGGCTTCTCGGTGGCAAAACACAAACTGCACAAGGGCAGGACTCCGGCGGACGGCCTGGCTGGCACAGTCTCCCTTTGCGACCTCTCCCTCTGCCATCGTCTACAACGGCGGCCCGAAGGCTAACGCACTCAGTTTCCCAGCCTCCTCTGCAGCTAGCAGTGACCATCTGGCACACGCCCGCGGAACAGCCAGAAGTTCCCCCCAGAAAGGCATCCTCTCCCCCCACTAAAAAGGCAAGGCCTTGCCAGGAGGAAGTCCTCCACAATTTCGCGCTTCCTCCGCCTTCTTGCCTGGAACCAAGGCTGCAGCGCGGCAGCAGCCATCTTGTGACCAGGAGGCAATCACAGTGAGCAAGAAGGTCTAGGCTGGAAGGATGGCGGAACGAATACGTGGAAAGGGCTGCGATCGTTGATGGTATCTTTGAGCTGTCATGCCCGCCTTGGACTTCTTACTGAGAGAGAAAGAGACACCTCTGTCTGTTTACTCCTAAGGATTCATGCAACTTACCTCTTGTGTTGTCTATTGTTATCCAGTGCAGGAACTGTGCCTGGCACAGAGGTGGTGCTCCTTAAAACATTTCAAAAGGAACGAATGACTTGCACGTTCTCACAAAGCCTCGGTTTCCCGTCTGCAACAGGTTCTGAGAGTCCCATCCCCCACCCCGCCGCTCTGCGATGCGTACCCAACATTTTCCTTCAACCGGATCGGTTAGCTTTCTTTTCAAAAATTTCAATCGAGACAGAGCGGTAGAAAACGATTCAGTTAGGAGTGGCTACTTGAGGGGTGAGCAGAGGGTGGGCCTTGGGGACGGTGACCCAGAGGACGCGATAGCTTCCACCCTGGTCCCGCTGATGCCCGACCACCCATTGGCCACAGGGCAGCTAGGAGGGGCATTTGCAAACAGAAATCAGATCACACCCTTCCCCTGCCTAAATTCCCCCTTCTTCATGGCTTCTCACTGCCCTTCGAAGAAAACGCAGCCCTGACCTCAGCCTCAGGTCCCACACCCGTGTCTCACTCTCAACTTCCCCTCGGTCAGCTCTCTGCCCTACAGCCACAAGACCACTCCTGTCTCAGGCCCTTTGCACAACCGGTTTCCTCTGCCTGCAAGCCTCTGCCTCCGTAAGTCCACCCGGCTAACCCTCACGTCCTCTGGGGCTCTGCTCCAGTCACCTCCTCGGAGAGGCCCGCCCTGAACACCTTGGTGAATATGTCCCAATTCAGACGCGCCCTAACTCACCCGCACTTTCTGGAGCAATCATACTGATTTCTCCATTTGTGTGTTTCTGGTTCATTTCCCATCTGTGGACTCTAAGCTCCCCCAAAGCCGGGATTATGGTCTGTTTCTTCACTAGCCTGGCATAGACTAGGGGCTAAGGAAATATATGCACTTTGAATAGTGCAATCAAGGAGGAACAGGGAAGACAGTTACTGTGCCCAGCTTTGTTATAACCTTGGTCTGTACTTTGGAGCCTGAACTTAACTTTATCCCTGTGATTTGGGAGGCTGAAGTTAAAAATATATATATATATATATATATATTAAAAAGAAAAGGGGCGCCTGGGTGGTGCAGTCGGTTAAGCGTCCGACTTCAGCCAGGTCACGATCTCACGGTCCGTGAGTTCAAGCCCCGCGTCAGGCTCTGGGCTGACGGCTCGGAGCCTGGAGCCTGTTTCCGATTCTGTGTCTCCCTCTCTCTCTGCCCCTCCCCCGTCCATGCTCTGTCTCTCTCTGTCCCAAAAATAAATAAACGTTGAAAGAAAAAATTAAAAAAAAAAAAAAAAAAGAAAGAAAAGAAAAGAAACACTAATCCAAGTACAGATTCTGGCGAGTTCGGGTCTAATGATCATACTGAAAATAATAATAATAATAATAATAATAATAATAATAATAATAACAGCAAACACCCACAGTGTGCCCAGCAGTACTAGTAAATAATGTATTATACTAACCGATAATGAGAACCATAATCACTCTTATAACAACTTGATGGGCGCGTTCTCCTGTTATCCCCATTTTACAGAGGAGGAAACCGAGGCTCAGAGAGGTCGAGTAACTTGCCCGAGGTCACACAGCCGGGAAGAGCCAGAGCCAGGATTTCAACCCCGGCAGTCTGGCCCCAGAATCTGTAGCTACTAGATCTCTGAAAACACCACAGGGATGCTACTTCTGGAAGGGGGAGCTCGAGCCCGCCGTCCACGACCTCTGCCCTCCAAGCTGGCCCACCCCTGGCTGACCTCTGAGGCTGATGAACGACCCCCCCCACCCCGGCCCCTCGCTATCTCGGAGCATCCTCAGGGCCCCCGGCGGCCCCCCGCCCCCCAGCCCGAGTCTGCGCTGACCCTGCCTTGAGCTGAGTGAGCGCTTCCTCTACGCGGGGCTGGTTGTAGCGCACCATGTAGCTATGCATGTCCGGGTAGTTGCTGCGAATGTTCTTCTCCGTGGACCCGTTGGGCACCGTCCCAAACTTCAGGGGCGGGTACTGCTCCTGGGGCCGCTGGAACTGGGGCAGAATGGGAAGTTATTAGGGCGCCCCCCTGGGGCCATCTGGGTCAAGGACATCCTTGACCCAGATGCTCTGTTCTGGGGGACGCCGGCCATCTGGCAGGTGCCCCGGTCCAGAAGCGTTTCTCAAACGCGCTCACCACGACCCTTTGCGACTCGAACCCAGCAGATACATCCGCAGCTAGCCACAGATATGCGTGCATATGTGTCCACGCATGTGTACGTCCACATGATCAGGAGTACCATGGGAATCTCTAACAGCCAGCGTGGCCGGATCATAGTCCGATCAGAAGAGACGCTGGCTCCAGAGTTCCAGAAGGGTCCCAGAGGCCCCTGACGTGCCAGGCATTAACCCTTAACTTGCTGGATCATGGGAGGTCCCAGGGGCAGGCGCTTGGCACGGGGAGGGGGGGCGGGGGGGGGGCTAGAGGCGGTTGCTATGTACCGATCCGTTGGGAAACAGTTCACTCTTTTAACAACAGACGTAGCCACACAGGTGTGTGTTGGCCCAACGTCAAGTGCGTATACGACCAAAGCAAAGATGCAAACATATTACGTGTTCGGGGGAAAAAAAAAAAAAAAAGCTGTTGCAATTCACCGAACTGATTTCTCAGCCTTCTAATGGGTCACGATAGGTTCTAATAGGTCAGCTAACCACTCTGGTCTCCAAGCGTGCTCTGTATATCACCAGTCCCCAAACAAACCGTGATCAGTGATGAGGTGAAGTACAGACCTCGAGGGAGGGAGCGCTTAAAGCAATTTTTTGGAGGGGAGTTTATTTATGTATGTATTTTTGGAGGAAACTCTACACCCAACGTGGGGCTCGAACTCACGACCCCGAGATCAAGAGTCGCGCGTTCTGCCGACTGAGCCCGCCAGGTGCCGTGCCCCCAGAGCGATTGGCCAGAATGATGTTACGTCTGTTGAAACTGAGTAAAACTTGGGGTTTGAATGCGGCGCGTCTTGGTTTTTCCATTTTATGTTTCTTTTCTCACAATTCGTTTCTATGGTGTCTTACAAAAACACCGATCTGCACCGGGAAAAGGTCACAGATTAGCCCTTCCTCACGGTTCGAGGGAGGCACTGGTCTAGAATAGCCCATTTGGCATTGCTGCCCCCCACCCCCACCCCAGGACGTTTAGGGACACTCTCTCCTCCTCCTGGGAATGTTTAAATAGAAACACAACCTTTCTCTTCCAGAAGGTTCTATCCTACCAGTTTGGAACTCTCTCCGGGAAAAGACTCCCAGGAATCCTCCCTGACCTCCCGGCGGCCAAACTCTGACCTGACCTCCCATCCCAGCCAGCTCCCCCCCCCCGCCCCCCTCC